ATGAAACATGAACGTATTTTTTCAAATAATAAAGTACGTATTGCTAAAAAAATGTGTTTTCTATGTAGAATATAATAGATTATATAATAGATTTTATGTAGAAAGCTATTCAAAGTCTTCTTAAAGTACTTTTGTTCTAACTTCAAAATTAAGCGTTAATAAAAATTCGTTAGCAGAACCAACAAAAACGGCCGTGTTACGAGCATTACATTAATTTTTAAATTTTTCGAAGTAACCACAACAATGGAGGGGATCAGTTCTTGGGATGCTACAAAGGAGTTAAGATGGAAGCCAGCAAAAGTTATAATGATTAACTAAACGTAACTTTGACTTTTTAACAAAGAATAAAAACCGACTTCCAGGCACTAAAATGTAAAAAATAACTAAACGGAGGTTTTCATTTAGAATTAGCACCGACTTCGAAAATATCTGATTAGGTATCTATTCTAAATGAAAAACTTTTTACATTTTAATTTAATTTTTTTTTACATTTTAGTTTGCCTAGAAGTCGGTTTTTATTTTTTGTTAAAAAGTTTTTATTTTTCCATTTTTATTGTAGACGTAATAAGTAGGTAATTTCTAAGAACAAAGTTTTTTAATAACATATTTGATTAAACAAATTATTTAAAAAAATATATATTTATTGTTGATTTTTTTAAAAACCGCTCGACCGATTTCGTTAAAATTTATATGGGACCACCTGGGAAGAAAACAAAAAAAATCCAAATCGGTTCAGGCATCTTCGACTAATCGGTGAACATACATTAAAAAAAAAAGATTCCGACGAATTGAGAACCTCCTCCTTTTTGGAATTGGAAGTCGGTTAAAAAGAAAAGAAGGGTGGAATTTTATAAATATAATCAATATTACGAAATCTATCAATTTGACTTGTTAGAATAACTAGGTAACTGCTTAACTAAGATTCTGGACGAAAAAGTTCTTATTAATATACAATTATCACGAATATTACATTAAATAGTAAAAGATGTTTTACAGGAATTCAAGAAAACCAAGGTTTTGGTATTTGAAATGGCGAATAAAAGACAGAAAGTAAAGTTAAATCAATAATAAATTACTAGAGTCAGTACAAAAGAATGTTTATTTAAAAAGTCACAATATTTCAACAATATGATTAGGTTGCTAGCAAAAATATGCACGCCTTGCAGTTTCAAAGGGCAGTTTTGGTTAAGAGGTTATGGGATAGCTAAACGTGAATAAGGGCGAAGAATATTGTAAACACTAGAATGCCTGTCTAACTACTACCTAAAATCTAAAACATACTAATTGATGCAGCAAAAATTTGACATACCGAGATTTTTTGGAAATTCACCTTTGGAAACTTCATCTGGACCTATTTAAATTCAGATGAAGTTTTATTTCACCGCTTATATATAAAGGCTGGTGTAACAAAATTATGTGGCCGTCGTAGCACTGAATGCATTTGCCTTCATCGTTAGTTATCTATGCACCAGGCATAGTTCCGTACGTACATGACTGAAGAAAAGTTGGCAAATAAACTTTTTTTTAATAAAAGGATTTTAGCGCAAGAAAAGATTAAATAACATAACTATTTTAAAAACAAATAATGGTAATCTATAAAGTAAAACGTTCTTCAAAATACTATAAATCTAAAATCCCTCATCTAACAATGTACAATCTGCGTCTGCGGTCTGGTTACATGCATACTTCATATGTATTATAAATGTGAAAGTGTGTTTGTTTGTCCTTGTTTCACATCGAAACAGAATGTCAAATTGGCGTGATTTTTTGTGTAGAGATAGTTGGAGGGCTGGAGAGTGTCATAGGCTACTTTTTATCGCGGTAGATAATCTAATTCCCACGGAAAAACACGTTAAAATACAATAAAAAAAATTTGGTCAGAATTACTTGAAACTTGGTATTAATGCCCTTCAATACAATTAAATAAATACGTGATTTAACATTTTTGGGAATTCATTCCATAAGGGGATAGAATAGGGGATGGAAGTTTTTGTATGAGACCTTCCTTGAGAGTTTTTTAGAGTTTTTGTGTAGTTTTAGCGCGAGTGAAACCGCGGGTTCTGCTAGTATAACTATAAATACATTAGCCACAATATATTTTATTATATTGTAACATCTGCACTCTTCTTACAGTTAAAACTAATGCACTAACGAAACCCACTTGTTCATAATATCTTCCCAATTAAAATTATAATGCAAACCGGAAAAGTCTGTAATAATTTTCCGTAACGCATTAAAAAGTATACTAGTCTTAGTAGAAAGTGCATATAAAAGAGAAGCATTAGAGCTCAACGTCCGTTCAACAGTATAATTGAAGACTCGTACGTCACAATCACGCATTGCACGTTTAATATCGCGAGTAACAAGACTTGATTACTTGATTTGCTTGGCCCCTACATAGACGTTGCATAGCACTATGCCACTTTGAGTTTAATATAATACTAGCGACTCGCCCTCGCTTCACTCGGGCTCGTCCCTAGGTGCGTTTTTTCGGTATAAAAAATAAACCTATGTGCTATTCTAGACTATAGTCTCCGTGCCAAACAAACAGATCCGTTCTGGCGTGATTGAGTAACAATAATAAATATGTTGGGACATTACTACACAGCACCATCTAGTTCCATGGTAAGCTACGAGGTTTGTGTTATGGATACCAGATAGTTGATACACTACATATATATAAACTTTAAATACATACATATTATAAATATAAACACTCATGACTGGAGTACAAACATTCGTGCTCATCACACAATGAATGCCCCCAGCGGGACTCGAACCCGCGAGCCAAACGTGTCGTCAACATCCATCTATCCAAACTTTCGTATTTATGATACATTAATTAATGGGATACGCTCTATTTTAAAGATGTACATATATATAAACTATATATCAAAAGTATGCAGTAAATTGCATTTATAATGAATTATGCAATAATATTTCGTTTACACTATATTTAATTTCTAAAAAATATTTTTTTAGGCAAAACAATATCTTTTAAAATGTATTAACTACGCACATATTGTGTAAACTATAGAATAATTTTGATGCTGTATGCAGAGCGCGCCCCTTGGTTTAAAACAACCCTTCTTCTACAACTTTGTACAATATTTGGTTTAGAGCAGTTTCTAAAAATCTGAACACAAAGCAATGATTGAACGTAATTACAAAGATAATAATTAAAGATGCTGCTTATATATTCTTAAACACTATAGTTTCTTTTTAATTATTAAGTTTTGTACAAAACGGAAACGAAATAGGTACGAAAGGAAATATTTATACATATTATCTTTCGGTCAATTGATTTGTACAATTTTGAATAATACTAGCAACTTTACAAAGTTAGTAAATTTTCTCGGAAACCAAGTGAACAATAGCTACCTGCGTTCGAAATTCAACGATTGTTAGGCAGGTAGCAAACTGAACTGTAATAATCGCGTCCCTGAACCCAAAATACGGACAAAGGGCGGTATGTGAATAATTTGTCCTCATTACAGACTCATCGTGTTCACCTTGGAGCCCTGAACCAGTTCCTATAAGTTCTTACAATACTTTATTGAAACTTAAATTATTTAAAAAGTAATTACAAAGATGAAGGAGAATTGTACACTTCAGTAGTATATTATGTCGTAGACTGAGTTTTTAACGAGATACATTTAAATTTAACTTATTTATGACATTGACTGATACTTTGTAAGTTTAACAATACAAACGTTTAATAAAAAAGTGCAAAAATATAAATATCTTATGAAATTTGTAGTTGTGTTAAAGCAGAGTAAACTATAAATTCAAACCTGTGAAATTAATAGACGGTGTAAAAGCAACAATAGCGTACAAAAAAATTAGATTTCAGATGCATGCACACTCAGATTATATCAGGTAGTTTTGAGTTTATATTTTTAATAACAGACTGCGCGACAGCCAAAAATTTACAAGACGCCCCAACTGTTTGCGTACAAATCTAAAAAGCAGATGTTAGCATTACATTTTCATTAGCCTCGTAACAATTGTTTTAGGTTTGTTTTAATAATCTTATTATTTTTGTATGTGTCTAGAAGTTTAAAATGAAAAATAGGCTAAAATCATATTTTCAGGGAATGTGTACATATTCTAAAAGGTATTATTCATAAACCGAGCCCTAATTGTCTATCCATGAAATGTTTTATCAAAACATTACTGGCATTACCAAGTATAGGATGATATTTTCAGCCTCGGTACTGTTCGGACAGCTTGCGAGAGTCGACGGAGATAAAAATACCGCATGCGCTAAATAAACTAAAAGTACCTACGAAGTATTGAGAATATTAATCAAAATACTTAAAATATTTAAATTTATAGCAAATTCTGTTTATGTCCAGATAGATTTTAGAATCTGTTCCAGATTTTTTAACTAGGTTTTGTCTCTTTTAATCGCACATTTAACGCAGCTGTATAGAAAGGAACGACAACAATGAATTCATTCACAGTTCAATGTCACAACAATGGATTGTATATGGGCATCGGTAGTAATTTATATGTAGTTACAAGATGCCTTCCAATCTATACTGTTACAACTGTATATTATCTGTTTCTGAACACATTACACTTTATGAAATTTTATTAGGTTTATTAATAAAAAACTGGAATAGGTATAAAAGTCATTCAATGAATATCAGTATACTATATTGTGTTGTATAGAAATTACCATTGTGTAATATATATATTAGTGCAGTTAGTAAGTAGTAACATCTACATTCTAGTTTCTACAACAAGGCGAATGTCAGTCTGTTATTTTTACTATAAATTTACGGAATACATAATAAACGACGCAAATCGCCTTTGATTCATGAAGTCTATGAATAGCCACTTATAATCATCTTCGTATCTTAAAATATAATATACACACAAAGATTTAAATCTCAAGTTATAATATAACATACTAAAATTTGATCGAGTATCTGTTGGTAATGAAAAGTAAAAAAATAATCTTGACAGTAATAAGAAGAACCAAAAATACTCACAGGATAGTACATCCCCTGCGGCGGCAAAAAAAAGGCCCCTGAACCCCACAGCTTGCCGTTTATATTTACTTTGTGTTGCACAAAAATACACTCAACGAACGCCACTCGATTTGGCGTTAACTCCACACCACAACTTTTATAAACTCGAGGTATTCATGAGTATTAAATATACTATAACAATGAACAAGATAAAACAATTTGTAAATTTTTAGGTTATGTAGATATAGCGCGGAGGAACGCGCTATAGCACTGAAAGCGGTTGACGTCGATGTGCAACAACGAACAGGCGCGCGTGGCGACTCAACGAACTCATGCGAACCGCCATCTGCGTGAAAGAGATAGACTGAAATTCCGAATGGAGACGAATAATTTCTCACTTCTCATACATAGTCTGTCTTTGTCTAACATACTATATACTAGATAACAAGCTTCTCTCTTTGGTATTTCAATTTACTTCCAAAAATAATTTTAGTACAGCCACAGCTTTAACATTATATCACTTAAAACAAAATATGTCTTTAAATGAATTTTAGTTATTCATAATCTTGTCACTATTGTACTACATGCGAAATATATGTTTATATTACGTCTAAAACCGTTTATGATAACGAGTAAAATAAGACGCGAAAAAGTATGAAGTCTTACTATTTAAATATGTTAACAAAAATAGTATTTTTATGTATTGTATTAAGTTTACATCGAGCGCGACGCCTAGCTACTGGAATCTTGTACTTCGTATGTCCCTGTCGTTCGGCCGAGAGGGGTTTGGATCAATGAATCGCTCCCAGGCCCCCCGGTCCCGGCATCATCCCAACGTGTGCTTCACGCTCCCTCTCATTTCATCAATTCAACATTTTAAGTAAAAAACTGAATGTGTGAAAAATTTCGTTTATTATTAATAAAATAATAACAAAACATTGATTTATGTTACGAAGCTATTTAAAAAAAATTATAATAAAAAAGTGTACTATTGTACTGGCGCAAATATCATCTTTCTAAAGATCGGTGTTTCGTAAAAGTGTATAGTTTTTTAGGCAAGTTAACATTATAACTACTAAAGATAAAAGGATTATCTATAATATTATTTACATTGATACCTAGTACGGGCTACGACCTACAACTAATTAGTAAGAAGTCAATATAAAATGACTTTTAAATATTTATCTATCTTCATTTCGTATTTCTATTTGCTCTAGTAAATATTGTAACCAGTAACGAATTTGAACAAAAATATCTTTAAAGATATTTATTCTAACAATCTATTTATTCTGTATGTAAAATTGAAATAGATCTTTTTATTGCAACTCATGCGTGAATTATTGGGCAACTTATTGATACATCTTCGACGACTTAAATTATTCTCAGATCTTTGAAATATTATTGTTAGTCTGATTTCTGAGCGAATAAACACATTGGTCAACTTACTTATTGTATTATAATCTGTTTGTTACTACCTACTCACTTTCCTAACTAAAATGTCTTTATCCAAAAGATTATTTATATATTTGCTTTTTTCCCCAGCTTTTTAAATTTTATTTCAACTACATAATATACTGTACAGTGTACTCTAAGTTAACATATTCAATATTATAGGTACCTAATGTTAGAACCAAAAATCATGATATGAAAGAATAAAATTAATGATTAAATATCGTTCGTACCCATTTTGTAATTAAGTAATATTTATTTAAAATGTTAAAAGAGGTATTCAATTAAAATGTATTATTATTTTATAATGAAACGAAATTAGAATGTAATTACTTAGGTACTGATATATTGTTCCATTATTAATTACTTAATATGTTACGTTTTTTCATATGTAGGATATATAAAATAAATATACATTTACTTATATATGCATATTTCTATAAATATACAGATTTAAACATAAATACATAGATTGTATAATATTTTATTGAAGCACAATATTATAATATTAATGGTAAAAGTAAAAAGAAAACATTATAAAATGTACTTATATTAATAATAAAAGCCATGTGGCGCCATCTAGTAACATATACTAGAAGATAATGACGCACTCTAGTGTAATATAACATAAAATAGCAAGAAGTATAGAGTTCTGCTACCTACATCTTACTATCACAACTTACAAAACTTGCCGCTAGATATCGACACATGTTAAAAATATACACGCACTATAAATCTAAAAGACAATAATCTCTATTATTTATATGTAATACTAGCAGAACCCGCGGCTTCACTCGCGCTAAAATAATAAAAAAATAAAAAACTTTTATCTCCTATTTTACTCCCTTAAAGGATGAATTTCGAAAAATGCTAAAACACGTATTTATTTAATTTTATTGAAGAGCTTTAATACCAAGTTTCAAGTTATTCTGACCACAATTTTTTTTGAATTGTATTATAACGTGTTTTTCCGTGGGAATTAGGCAATCTCCCGCGATAAAAAGTAGCCTATGACACTCCAGCATTCCAACTATCTCCACACATAAAATCACGCCAATCTGTCACTCCGTTTCGACGCGAAAGAATGACAAACAAACATACATACAAACTAAAAAAAACACACTTTCACATTTATAATATTAAGTATGGATATTACATTATTTTACTTTGAATAGACTAAGTAAGATATTTTAGCATATCGATCTCACATTATTTAGTTTATTATATATACGTTTATTATGTAGCACGTGCTACGTAATAGGGAATATGCGTGTGATTGAAATAAAGGTGAAATATACTTTTTATAATATTTACCGCTTTTGAATTAAGTCTATATTAATATTATTAATATAATTTGTTTTTGATTCTGAAAATAATTATTAAAATGTGCAAGAATAGGTGGGAAATTCAAAATACATAGTTGAAACGCAACGCCATTTGTCAGACCGAATATGACGTCAGAGTATATCATAACAGAGCGATTAGCGATTTTGTCTACATTAAGTCTAGTTAGTTCTTTGCTTTAATGGCTTTAATGCGTGCCAGTTGAGCACAAATTATTTCGCCAATGTCACGTTGAATGGAGGATACATTAAGTCTACATTTGTCTGTATCGCGAAATGGCGAGCATTTAAAGTATCCGTAACCCAACGTATATTAAAATTTTAGTTTTTTGAAGCTGGTTTTTTTTCTATTATTTAACAACGTAAACTATTGTATAAAAAATAATGCATATTCCTTATTATTAAAACCTACCTAGAATATAATGAACTCATTAAAAAAAAACTTTTTTAAATATACACACAATATGTACAATAGTTCAGGAATAAATGTAAAAGGTCATTTACTCACTCACAAATATAAAATCTCAAAAACTACTGTACCTATGAAGGTGAATTTTGGCAGATGGGTAGTTTATAGGTAGATGGCGTACACTAAGGGCAGATTTTGTGATAGAATTAGGGGTTTAAAAGCTATCGTTAAATGAGGAAGTCCTGCTTAAGTTAGTTGCTACTTAATTTTATTGTGATTGCTCTTGAATCTGCGAAAACTATAATTTAATTGTTTCCTATAAATCTCCACTTACCCAAATACAGCTGTTAATATTCTCCCAGTCTTGATACCATTCTAACAATAAGAGATATTTTACTTGCATTACGTTTACAAATGAACAAACTATTAAAATCCTATTTTTAAATACTTATTTAAACAATAATAGATACTTAATTAAAATTGATTTATAATTTTAAATTTTTATAATATTTTACGTTTTTTTTATAACTGGCTGCTTAAAACTCTAGTCTGATATTACATTTTTTAAATTTAGAATTTTGCTTAACCCTCAAATTAAATCAAACAAATTCATATCTTCAACATTTAAATTCTTATTTTAATTAGTCTGTAAATAATGCAAAATTAATCAAAAAATAAAGAACAAAAATAAAACAACGTTTGTTTGCATCAATGGTTTTGTTGGCATTACCTAATACGCCCTGGTCGCTAATTCGTACCCTGTACCAGGCAAAAAGTAGATGATGATGTAATTTATTCAATATAAAAAAAATCAGACGAGAAAAATATTTCAATCGGCAAAATCCTTTTCTTCTTTTATTTTAAAGTCTCTACGATTTTAACATTCAACGACATAATATGTATGGCGGTCAGATATCATTGATGTCAGGCGTTATTTATTATATTTGATAGTGTCATATTAATTATTTGCTTAAAATAATTATCTTCTGTTGGCCATTAGAATCTGCTTTAATTTTAAGTCGAGCATTGATTTGATTTAGATATTTAAAAAAAAATCATCCTGTTTTTGTTTTTCTTAAGAGGATTCAGGTCGATTAATTAACTATTTTGCTATTTGTTCTAAATCGGCTTACCTTATATTATTTTTTAAAGAAATATCTACATATGTATAAAACAAAAAGTGACCTCGTATTACTATACCTATACATACATAATATGTTATTAGTTAGACTGCCTCGGTGGTGTAGTGGCTAGCATGTACGGCTGCACACCCGGTGGTCCTGGGATCGAGTCGTGGGTCGGGCCAAGTTTAGTTATTGAGACTTTCTGTATAGTAAGTCTCAGTAACAGCCCGGAGTTGGGAAGTTGGTGGTGTTTCACCCCGTGCCTCGGAGAGCACGTAAAGCCGTCGGTCCTGCGCCTTAACTCTCACCGGTCGTGTCGAGTGGTCGTCCAACCGGAGTATGAGAGTGATAGGAATAGAGAGTGCACTTGTGTCTGCGCGTACACTTGAGCACTATAATATCTCCTGCGCAGTTGGCTCATCTCAATGAGATTGGCCGCCGTAGCCAGAATCGGCTAGGAGAACATCATAGTTACTAGTAACGCTGCCAGTGAAGGTGAACAAAAGCATCGTGAGGAAACCTGCATGTCTAGCTGAGAAAACTTAACAAGTTTTCGAAAGCTACGTGCAGTCCGCCAACCCGCAATTGGCCGGCGTGGTTGACTATGACCTTATCACCTTCGTATTGAAGGGAGGCCCACCCCCAGCAGTGGAACGTTAAAAAGGACTGAATACATACAATACAATACAACGCTGCCAGTAAGTTAGA